TCGCAGACACTGATGCACAGAGTTTTGAAGTGATGTGATACCCGATAACGCCACATCCCTAAAAGTTGACGAGCGCCTGAGTCTACCTCGTTGTGATACACGTACAGAGTACATTATGTACCTTCGGAATTGGAATGTGGCTTGCCTGAAGGCAATGACCCCTACAAAGTAGCAAATATATTCTCTTACGTAGATGATTAATCAGTTGCACTGCAGGTTGAAGACTGCCCCTTAATCCTAGCAGGGGAACGCAAAGACGAGGAAGAGTCCTAGCAGAAAGGCAAAGCTAATGCGTGCAACAAGAAAGAGCCTAACCGAAATTACTTAATTACTTTGAAATTGAAGAGAAGTTCAAGAATTTACAGTCAAGTCCCTACAATAACTACATTTCGCTACCTCTGAATTACTAAGTTATATCTGCTCAGTAGGCCTAGGCCTACCTAGTTTTGAGAAATTAGAAGTACAAAATTATGTCAAGCTTTTAAGAATGCAATTCTTTGAATATCTTGGTAACGACTACGAACAATCTTATGATTTTGATAGAGGAGGTAGAACATAAAATTTTGGTTTCTGAGCTCTTAGTCTTGTGACTCAAAACTGCCAAAATTGTCAGAACTTTGTAGGCTACTAATTGTAGGCCTACATGTAATTTTTCTAAGATTCTAACACGCGGTACCCACTACGGCTGGGATCGGCCGATCGCCCGACTTGATCGCCTCAAAAACAAATGTGTTTGTTTTCAGTTTCAGGCGATCGACCCGATCCAGCCGTAGTGGGCACCCCGTATAAGTTATAACTATTATAAGTAAGGCACCTGTAGCGCAATTCAACAAGTTATACACTCAAGGGAAGCAACTGTTGAAATACTTGTTACTGAAAGACGAGGTGGATTGATTGTAGAGATTTGTCTCCCGCGACACAATTGGCGTCGAAGAGGTGACAAACTGATTTGTGGACCCCTCTGTCAGTGTCAGGCCATCTCTTTCTTTTTTTTTTTAAATAGTAGAGGGGTTTACGGCGCTCGCAACTGCATAAGGTCATATGAGCGCCAAGGAGTGGGTGTCAACAGAGAAGTTTTTACAGGGAATCAGACTTAGACTGCTCACCTCTCTAGCTTCAACAACACAAGGTCTGTTTCGACTATCAAGGAACCCCGGAAATAGCAGGTCACAAGAGAGTGACAAACATACAAAAGAAGTAGAGGAAAATGACAACAGAAAGGATCAGGAAAGAAAAAGTAGCAGTTCCCTGTTGTAGATCAGACACAGTTATGAGCGTGACATGAGTCAGCCCATTTACAATTCTACTATGCTTGAACGAGAAATGTCCCCCCTTTGGGAATGGCCTAAAGACACTACAGTCAGTGGCGCTGCCCCGGGGGGTAGGCCATCTCTGTTTGTGTGGGATGCTACATATATCTCAACAAAATAGAGGGATGCCGGAAACTTTCACCGCATGAAAACAACCTCTGTCTCTCATGAGCTAAGCAAACCGGCAACATATGAAGTAATTAATGATATTGATCTATAGACCTTTAGTCTTGATTTTTAACAGCTTTTTAACCCTTGTGAATTGTCCCACATACAGAGCTTTTCAGCTCGGAGCGTTATAACTTATAAATGGACTGGACTGTCTTAAATTAACACTTGACTTCCCTTTTTCCATCACAAGTCAAAACTTTTTATCTATTCTTCATTTTTCTTGTAATATCAGAGACAAAACACTTTATTTAAGAAGTGCCCTCTTTCAACTCCTTGTGGTGTATAAAATATGCTAAACAGGCATTTTTCTTTTATTTCATCCCCCCCCCCTCCCCACACCCACAGCTTTCCTTATCTACCTAACTTAAATCCCAGAGTATGAGCGGCATTTGCTTAATCTATATTGACATCAAATATGACGGAAGTCCCCCCCCCCCTCTTTCTCCCTGAATACATCTGCAACGAGTATAATTCCTCCAAATGGACTTTTAATTTTTAGGAGAGGCACCTATGTACATGTATTAAGGCACTGTCCCACAATTTGATTATGTAAGCACCATTTAAGCCAGGGACCAAGTTTTAATAGAGTTATTTTTTTTGGTGACAGGTTTGTAAAGAAAAATTACTACCTTACATGAAGTACGCTCGCGTAATTGTAATGAATAATTGAAATCGAGGCAGGACTCATATCCCCAAGAGAGCATTTGTTAGTTTTTTTTCACCACAAGTGTCAACATGGGCGAGCGTAATTTACTGTAATGCGTTAATGTTTTAGCAAAGGTTCTTATCAATTTGTGTCAAGGAGAGCTTGGCTGGTGGTGAGGAGAGTGGTTTTGATGCTCATTTGAAGCAGCTAGTACAGTCAAACCTCGTTGTATTATACCATATTCAGTCACATCATAACTTTGAGTTGATGGCCCCCCCCCCCCCCCCACCGTTGTACCACCAGGTTTTTGCCAATGTACGAAAAAAAGGAGCGCCCATGTAAACATAGTGTTTGCTCCTTCACACCACCATCCACCAACTGTCTGAGTTGTACGATCCCTATTTAACTACATGTAATATAAATTAGGCCCGCTATACAGCCAAAGGTTCACACAGGTTGACTACTTGATACTTTCTCCAATGAGAAAGACAGAAGACTCTCGTCTCTGAACACATGAGTGTACATGTATATCACCAACAAAAAGACACTTTTCAAACACAGATTGCACAGAAAAACCATGTTTTTTTAACTTTGATGTTGGGTAGTGAGGGCTTTACAACAGAGGAACCTCGCTGAACCACCAGCCCTGCTGTTCCACCAACTTCATGCCCATCCCAAGGCTGGCAGTATAACGAGGATTGAATTGACTGTACATCTAGCCTCTTTTATTTGGAGGGTGCCACTGGCAGGTGCTACTAGCTTTCATTCCCTGTTATTTCTGTTTGTGTGTCTGTGAACTGAAAGAACTATTGCATTGTGATGATGTATGTACTTCTCTGTTCTTTTCACTCACAACTTCTAGAACCTTGTTTCCAAGTTATCAATTGTTTCCCCCCCCCCCCCCCCAAGCACAAAATCCCCATTCCATTAAAATTACTTGATGTACACAAAGACAAATGTTTCATGTACGTTTACTTCTCTATACATATATCAAACTACATGTACGCAAATGGCATCTGAACTTCATGGGTTTCTGTGACAGCCAGAGCGAATAACAGTTTAGCATACCATCTGGGACAAGCATCTCATGAAAGGCCCTGAAGAAATTTGTGACCCTGCTGCCACATGGCCGCTTGCATCTTTCACATCTGTAAGTGAACATCTGGTGAGCAATGTCCAAGGCTAATGACAATGGCTTCATAAGAGGGTGAAATATGTATTCATCTGCTAGCTGCAGGACTATGTCACGCCAAAATGCAAACGCACAGATAAGTTGCAAAAAGAGGAGTAAAAAAAAATCTTTTGAATACAATACTAGCTTAGGAAGTGAAATGGTATGTTCTTTCCTGTTGTAAACAAAAAACCTGAATACAGTTCCCAAGCAGGGAATCTATTTTATCGAGTATCTTCATATGTCAGATGGGGGCGTAGTTTCTAAAACATTTACAATGAAAATATTGTATGTGGTGAACACAATTTTGGTATCTAGCTTTCCTTGCTTCCTCCGTAAGCCAATGAACAAACAACCCATCTACTATGGCTTATCAATAGCGCAATGTTCAGCCACATCACAGAGTGAGCAGCTTCTCCAGTTCTTACTATTTAGAAAACCGCTAGTGTCAATTTGGGTGTCAAGAGAGTCTTAGCAAAATTTACAAATAGATGGATAAATTATTTCTAAAAATATGTAAACTCCAAAATAATACATTGTACTTTTAAATCAATAAAAAGTAACCAAAAATATGAAGCAATTGTAAAAGACAACAAGTTAAAAAGCAAAGTGAACTGCAGTTTTTCAGATTCAGACGCAGTAGGTTTGAAAAAACTCACAATGAATAAATAATACATAATATGAGAAGCAGTTTGGTGAAATCAGGCACTCGTCAAAATAATCAAGGTGAAGAAACTGGCATTTTCCCACAGGTTTGTGAAATTTTTATCGAATTTTTGTTTCTTGGCTCATTAAAGAACTCATTTCTGTGTGGATTTTATTGAAAAACCTTGATTAAACGCACAAAAAAATGTAAATTTTCAGTTTCCCCCGACTCTCAATCTAAGGAAATAGCCAATCTTTGGCGGCCATTTTGTTACTAATTTTACCCCTGAATCCGGGCAACCACCACCTCCTTCTGTCGTAAATATCTCGACTTGCATCTAAGATAAATGGATATATCTTTCAAATGAACAAGCTTTAAGGCGATACAAATGTGAGGGGCATCATTGTGAAATCAGGCTCTCGTCAAAATAACGAAATCGAAGATATATTGGCATTTTTCCTCCAGTTTGATTATATTTTTCTAATTTCTGTTTTTTGACAACACCTTTTATGTCCATTTAAAAACATAGATCTATTTCTGTTTTGATTCTTCTGAAAATCATAGAGTAAAGGGACAACAAATTACAATTTCAGTTTCCAAGGACTTTTAAGCTTTGGAAACTTTGGCAGCAGTTTTCTTGCTAATTTTACTTTTAAAACAAGGTGACCCCGACCTCCTTCAATCGCAAATATCTCAACTTCTATTCAAGATATGCGTGTATTTTTTTAATCCCAAGATGGTAAAATGAACAAGCTTTGAGATGAAACCAACAACTCCAGATCTCCCAAATTGACGAATGCCTGATTCCACTGCGTTGAGACACAATTAACTTCACATGCCCAAAATTGACCAGAGCTTGATTCCACGGTGTCGTGATACACACACACATATATATATATATATATATATAGATCGACTACTCGGTGTAAGACTCTGTCGTATGTCTCTTTTCAAAATGGCGCATGGCGGAGTCTCACATTAAGCAGTCGATATATGTAGCCCTATGGTACATGAAACATTAACACACTAGTGAACAGAACGAAAGAAACACAATCATTATGGTAAAAAAAATTTATAAATGTATTTATTGTCCACTCATCCATCACCTTTCATACTATTATGTACAGTATTCCACAATCATTAGATATCTGCATACATAAAATCACCATGCTAATAACTCTTGAGCATGGGTGTGGCGGGCATATCTTTCCAGGGGTCGCCCAGCATGCCCGGGTTCACGTATTGACTTGCATTAAAAGACCCTGGTGTGTTGTTAAAATTTCTCTGAAAAAGATAAAAGAACGAAATGTTTCCATTACCAACTAGAAGTAGAAGTGGATTAAACAGTCAATTGGTCATAAAAATCCTAACCTCTGAGAAAAAAACAAACACAACTCAAAATCACAGAGACGTTGCATTGGTAACAGATGAAATCATCAACTGTCACATGTTTTGCTTTCCAATTCAAGTTCAGAACATCTCCTGCAAACAAGCAAAAGTTAAAAACACAGCTGGACGGATTAAAATGTAAAAACAGATATAGAATACTGGTACTGTGCAATAAGAACAGTTACAACAGGCAATTTATACAGTATAACACAGATAGCTCCAATTCCTCGGGACCAGCATTGGTAGTTCAAAGGATCCGTAGTTCGAGGGATATCATATCTTACAAAGATAAAGAAGAAGAACAAAACGGGACTGTAGGCACACTTTGACGGATGCGTACAATAATTTAGAGTCTTCTGTGTTCGACCTATCTGTGTTATACTGTATAGCAAAGCTAAGATTGAGCAGAGACAGCAGATTGTACAACATGACAAAATGGTTATTCTATTCTTTAAAAAAAGTAACAGACTATAATTTTGCTTTCAAGTGAGGAATACAATAGATATAATACAAGTTACTTTGTGTCTTAAAATATAGCCATTAATTATCTAACAACACAAAGAAAACATTTTAGTGAGAGCAGTGAACTTCATGGAAAGATTTATCTCGACAAGTTAAATGAATTCTAAAATTTCTCTGGGAAAAACAATGACAATGGATTCTCTCCTCATGTAAAATGCAAGCCATCTGACAAAAGCACTCCCACAGAGTGAGGAGATGAGCAGGAGGATTATAGTTTACTGCAAGTTCGCACAATTAGTCATGCTTTGCCAGGAAACCGGATCTATGCAACTGGAAGACCAAAAAATCAAGTAGAAAGTAGGTCAAACAGCACCCAAATGTCCACCAACCACCCACTGATTGCAAAAGTGAAGAAAGCCTTCATACATAGCAAAGCTGTCTCTAAATTTGACTTTATGCCAATCAGCCAATGCTTCTTCAAAAGGTTCTGCTTTAAATGGAGCAAATAAATTAAATACGCAAAGATGAATCTTTTGTTACAAACTTATTCAATAACACTAGCCACTACCAAGAAGGCATTAAAGTGTTGTTTCATGTCAAATCCTTTCAAAGACAGGGCATTTCATAGAGTGGTAAAAAAAGTAAAGAAGGGAGAAGGAAAGTAAAAAGACAGGTACTTCTGAACACAGATGTGTGTGTTATTCCACTTTGAAGGGCAGCTCTTTATGCTGTTGTGCCAATATATTGGACAATATCAGTTATTTTGTGCAAAGAAAGGATACTTACTCTGTTCCCTGAGCCTCCACGAGAACCAAATCTCTGGTGAGAAGGGGAGAAACCAACAGGAGAAGGAGTCTGATAGTTCCTCTGTGGGGTGAACGACTGTCTCATTGAGCCCGGAGATCCTGGTGTGTGACCAGCGAGAGGACTTGACTGGTATCGAGGCCTAGGCTGGAAGTGACGCGGACTGGAGTACTGCCCCCTGTTATTGTGAAATTGTCCTCTTGGGCTGTTTGAGTTTAATGGATTCTGCATGCGGTCAGGGTATGATCTGTGTGGACTTGGTCGCTGGTACGGGTGACTGTTGTTAGAGTGAGCTGGAGTGTTCTGAGAAGAATTTCCCAATCCTCCTCCAGACATCAATGGTTGTGGGCTGGAGTTAGCGCCGGGCAGCGGGCTACCCCACTGAGCTGAGGACAAGGGAGCCCCCCATGGACACGGAGGAGCAGCCGATGGCTTCTGACCATTGCTCTGAGAAGAAAAAAAAAGACATAAATATTACGAGGTGCATCATGTTTCCGTAGTAGAACAGGTTGAGTAAAAAGAAGCACACTGACTTGACACAATAATGGTCGTTTAGTCCAGTATTAGTAAAGGGGAGCCTGACAGATAAAAAGAAGTGGTGAAAAGTAAAAGAAAAAGGACCAAATAATTATTAGTGGTGCCCTCCAACAACCAACCAGAGACACATCATACATATAATAAATAAAAATATTCTTAATTTTTATTTTTTTTACACAAGTTTAAAGACAGAGGTCCCCTTTAAAGTGTTAACATTTGAATTTCTAAATCAATAAGGCAAATAACAATCATCAGTCAAAATAATAACATTGTCACAAAACAAGATTTAGAAAAAAAAGTTGGCGGTTCAGCAGGACTAAATACATCTAGGATCGACTTGTGAATTTTTACAAGGGAAAAAAAATCTTAAGTCTCGAAACTGGAAAGACTGGAATGTGAACCCTGGGATGGCTCTGAAGAATAATGAAACAGTTTATTTTTTCTGTGTATTACAGTCGGAATTGACCCCATTCGGCCTGTCAACTTTATTATATTTTTCATTGGCACAACCACCACTACCCCCCCCCCCTCCAAATGGTCACAATTCTAATTGTAGTCAGCATTACTCATTAATTTCTAGTTGTTACCATGAAACCTTACAGTTAATGAAAAATCTTTAACATTCAATCATAGTTATGGATACTCTGTGTGTGACTGTGAATGTGTGTGTGAGTTAAATCTTTACATATGCAAAAATTCTCACTATAAAGTTAGGAGATAATTGACTTTTGAGGATTAGCTTGTCAGACATGAATAAAAAAAACCCAACAACCCTTTAAGTTTCTAAAGCAAGGGTTTAAATACCCCTTAATATAGAAAACCAAAGGGTGAAGGAACCTCTTAAGTTGGCTTGAAAAGGGGAGCCCTGCTTCGATCAGTCACTTAGACACAAAATAAAAGGATGCTTGTGACACACTGCACCACTGTAGATCTATCCATATTGCCTGAAATCTACAAGACAAGGTAGGGTGGTGGAATGGCTGGGGAGGGGGCAAATCGGCGAAAAGTGTGCGATCTAGACATAAGCCTAGCTCGAAGAGACTTGTGTGTGAAAGATCGTCAAGCAACCACCAAGTAGATCATGTCCCGTGCGCCTAGTTTCCTAGTTGTGTAATTAAATTTTTTTTTGTCTCAGCACAAGTCTTTGTCAACTTCTGCTATAAAAATCTGAAGCTTTGTTTCTATTTTTAGACAATTAACATTTAAGTTTACTCTTCTTCAGTACCATAATAAGTAGGACTATGGAACTGGTATGGAGTATGTCACTGGTACTGGTAGTGCCTATGGCATGGCATGGAATGGATAATAAATTGAGAAGGAGGAATTATGAAGTGCATGCGCCCTTTGCTTGAGGTTTAAAAAAAAAAGCAAGAAAAAGGAGAGAGCATTGTTGATGAGCCTAATGAGCTAAGACTTTAAAAAATTGAACAGAGAAGGGCCTACTACTGTACTGTACTTTAAACTGAAATCCAGGGAAGGAGTTTCGCAGAGGGCCGGCCGACTAACAATACACAAAAGACAGGATATTTTGAGCGGGGTATAGGTATAGAGGCCTACTGTCCTAATTTTAACCCGACCTCCTGTGTATAGTTTGTTCAGTGGACCTTGTCACAATAAGTGCAGGCCCTTTGGGAACTCCTCCCAATCCAACCATCCATGGCCCTGATAGGCATCATGTCTAATCTTTTATAGAATGTTTAAATAAAAATAGGGAGTGTATACAAACCCGGTAACCGGGAACAAAGTCACAAAGTATACAGACCCGGTAGGTCGGAAAGTTTCAGCGCCCTCTTGGCTCAGGGAAGACCTAGGTTCTTCTAGATCTATGGCCTAGGTCTAGATCTAGACAGACAGACATAAATCATTGATCTAATTTCGAGGCTAGCCTAGATCTAGATCTAAATGAAGATTGCGAATGTCTTCTCGAAGAACGATCGTTTTCCATCCGTTTCGGAGTTGGAGGAATCACTATTTGAAGAAAAGAACAATGCATAATTTCAATCGAGCAGTGACCCTCTCTATTTCTCTGCCTCTCTCTCTCTCCTCTGTGTATTGCTCTCCTTCCCTTTCCATCTTTCTCTCGTTCCCTCCTGCCAACTGGGGCATGTCGTATAGATCTATATACATTTTGCTAGCACTTCTCTCTCTCTCTCTCTCTCACACACACATGACACACAAACACACTACCGGGTCTGGGCGCTAAAACTTTCCGAAATCACAAAAGAGTTCCCCTACCGGGTCTGTATACTTCGTGGCTTTGTAAAGTTTGTTCCCGGTTACCGGGTCTGTATACATTTCGATAAAAATATCAATAAATGATATGGAGTATGAGTCTGATGAGGTGTGGGTTGGTCATCGACTGTACTGTCCGCCTCTTCAATAAATTAACCTAACCGTGTTGATAGAGGGGCGTCTGAACCACCATTTCGATTACTGTAATGTGTGTAGATCTGGTGTCGTTTTCGGAAATGCAGAAATGCATACAAATTGACACGTTTTGTTACACCGATCACGTAGGAAGTAGATCTAGATTTCTAGATCTAGATCTATATCTAGATATAGATTATAGATCTAGATTCTGGACCGAGATCTCACCAGACCAGATTCAGAAGTAGATCTAGATCTAGAATCTAGATGTAGATATCTAGATCTAGATCTATAATCTATATCTAGATCTAGATAGATCTAGATATATAAATATCTAGATGTAGATCTAGATCTAGATGTAGATGTAGATCTAGAATCTAGATCTAAATCTAGATCTAGATCTATATAATATAGATATCTCGGTGCTTTTTCGGTAGTTCCCACCCCGCAATTTTATTCACGGGTTTGGGCCACAAGAGTAGGGGGGTTTCAGGGGGCTTGCCCCCCTGACCTAATAAAAATAGGAAGGGGGGTTTCAGGGGGGCATGCCCCCCTGAATTTTACCATAATTTAATGTTTTGCAGTTGTTAGGTTTTATATCTTAGCTCACCGCGAATCAAACATCATATATAGATCTAGATCTAGATCTAGATGTAGGTCAGGCTCAAATAAGGGGGGTGGGAACTACCGAAAAAGCACCGATATCTCTAGATTCTAGATCTAATCTAGAATCTAGAAATTTTAGGCCTCACCAAACAGGAAAAATTCAGATGTTTTGCTCACCTCTTGAGACATCACTTTAAACTGCAGTAGAGGTGGAAGATATGTCACTGTTTTCTAAACCAAACAAGGGGTTTTGTTCCTTAGAAACCTGGTTTTATCTTCTAAGACAACTTAGAAGTTACAACGGCATGGTTTTTATTTTCAAAACCAGCAAATTGACAATTGTAAACAAAGGCAGTAAACCCAGATTTATAATTGTTGTCTTGTAAATTATGGTAGGCTTTGTGGATGCCAATGAGCTATGACTGTGATTGCTTTCTAAAACTAAAAGTTGTCATATAATAACTGTCTATTTGAAAATCTTATTTTTATAAAGACAATAAACTTCACTGACATGTGGATATACCTATTACTTTCTACACCAATCATACTCAAAGTTTTAGACCTAATTGCCAAAAAAGAATCGACTAATCTGGTCATACGTGAAAGATACCCGGAAGTAGCTATTTCTTCGAACTGTAGGAGAAATTAGAGGGCTAATTTACCGTGTCGATCGTCCTCCTTCGATCATTACTTGTTTTATTTCTACCTTGATTGTAGCTTCCATGACAAAATATTCCTCAAAGATATTTTTAAAATTTACAACTGCATAAGTTTTTATAGATTTTCCCAAACATTCTTGCTTTTCTAAAATTAACCCCCCCCCCCAAATATCAGTTTCCATCGTATATATAGACAACTCCTAAGGTTTTCATTCTGTTTACATATTTCTGTACGGAGTCTTCAGTCTTACATTGTTTAGAAATGGCGTCTATAACGGAGCAACGGGACTGAGTTTGGAATATATAGAGCCAAAGCCGGCATAGGGACCGTAGTATTGTGCATCCTTGATCTGATCGTAAAAAAACAAAATAATGGACAGTGGATCGGCAGTAGAAGCGACAGCTGAGTCTGTTGTCAGAGAATACCTCAGTAGGAAGGTAAAGATTGTTGAAATCAGTTAAAACTAAAAAGCAGTGCTTTTGATTTTGATTTTGGCGAGTGGAGTGCATGGCTTGAATTTGGGTTTGTGGGCATGGACTCTCTGGATTTTGTCTGATAAAGATTTTAGTTCAGTCGAGAAATTGATACATAACTCATGAGCTGCTTCAACTTCAGTGGACACGTTTCAAGCTACTCTATCTTTTGGAGAATTAGATTCTTCTGCCTCTTAACAGTTTTTTGGTGTGTGACCAAGGTTTGTTCTCTGGGGAGAACTTCCGTAACGAGCGACCACAATAGAACAGAGGGATAGGGGTAGGGTTTAGGTTTAGGTTTGGGGTAGGGTTAGGTTTCTTCTTTATTGTGTTTGTTGGGGTGGTCGTTCATTATGAAAGTCCTTCCGTTCTCTGTGCTGTGATGTGTAGGCCTATCTATAAAAATAGAAAATCATATTGCATTGACAAATTCCGACATTGATGCATGGCATAGATATAATATCAGAAAGTAAAATTGTGGAGGCAGGTATACATGCAACTGAGTGCTCAGAATGCAGTAGCATTAGGGAAACTAAATCAGTGTTATATGGGGCGCCCACTACGGACGGGATTGGCCGATCGCCCGACTTGATCGCCTAAAAAACAAATGTGTAAATTGTTTTCAGTTTCAGGCGATAAAGTCGAGCGATCGGCCCGATCCAGCTGTAGTGGGCACCCTGTATTATGGGGCAGGAATTAAGGCCCCTAAGCTGCTTTCATCTGCGGACTGTTCTATTCTTAGGGAGTTTGAGATCACGACTTTTTTCGTAAAGTCGTTTGACAATAACAAAAAAAATGTAAATACTTTTTCCTGCCCCTCCCCTTCAGCAGCAAAGTTTAATATGATATAATAGATACGAAAAATTTAAATACAGAGGAAATTGTCTGAGGTGGCCACCCATTGTCGAGCTGAAAATATCAGCTACTAGGAGATGGTGTTTCATCCCTAAAATTAATTATTTTAGACTTGGTATATGTGTGATTGAGTGTTGTGGACATTCATGTTTTTTTAGTCTCAAGCTTAAATATCCATTTGGTGATGAATCAGTAGAAGTAGTTAAATTGAAAAATACTCATTGTTTGCTCTTAGGGTTTGAAAGAGACCTTAAAGAAAATGGATGAGGAATGCCCAAGACACGAACTCAGCATAAGCAACAGGCAAGCTCTAATGAAACAACTCAATCTAGAAAAACTAATGAAAAAGAATAAGGTAAGTTGTATTTAAATTTTAACTTTTTACCAAATGGGTTGTACTGTGTTCATTCGCATTGTAAATCTAATTCTTTTGAATTTAGTGCTTGGCCTACAGTTCCAGCCTAGTTATCAATCCTGAATATGGGCTGAAGTCCTTTTTGAGTTGTTAAAAATAAAGTTCTAAAGATTTACAGTGTCTGTATATTTTTCACAAAGTATTTTTTCTCTTGTCTCTTGATTCTGAAGCGTGATAAAAAAAACAAACAACAAAAGACACAAAAATCCAACTAGTTTGACAATGTTGAACACAATACAACATATATCTGAAGTTTACACTTGGAGGAATTTAAGAGCCGAGTTTTGTTCAATAAAAACATGTATTGTGTAAGAAATGATAACTTTAGGCATTTAGCTTTACCTGTTCTTTATTGTCTTTTTTTTTCAAATTCTGCTTACATTTGGCCTTGTTTATGTGTAAGTACTGCACTAAACAAAGACTAACAATGGTATTTTTCCCGAACAAAACTCCAAAGTACGTTTGTCTACAAATGTTGCTCCAGAGGTTTAGTGTATAAAAAAGAAAAAGACTTTGAAATATTATTTTACCATTTGAATTTATTTATTCAAATTTCAATACAGGAGAATCCTCAGCCCTTCAAAGCTATGTTGGAGATAATGACCAAACATTTCATCGAACGACGACCCCAGCATCACACCAATGAATGGGAAGCAAACGGAAAAAGTTTGGGGAGCTCAGATGGCTTAAGTTCAGATAATGCCTTCAGTCCTCAGACCAACGAGCCAATGGATTCTGTTGCTCTGCGACCAGCAGCAAGACCAACTACTGCTATCTTAAGTTCCAGAAGAGGTATGTGAGAGAGGATTTAGTTCAGTAGAGAAGTATATAATCTCAAACTTGGTGTGGGTCAGATGAGGTGGATAATTCAGTTTGTGTTATATTTTGGCTTTTATTTTTTATATGGAAGCCTGCTCTAATTGGAAATGAAAATATTCAGTCAAAGTTTGGTGACTTCCAAAGCTTGAGTGTCTTTGAAACTGCTAATTCACATTTTTTGTGCCTTTGATCATTGTTTTACAGTACCATCTACTTAGAAATGTGTTTTTAAATGGACATAAAAGGTGTTAAGCCTGAAACAACAATTTCAATAGAAATTGCTCAGTAGTTGGAAAAATGCTGATTCCTTCGATTTTATGATTTTGACAAGAGCATGATTTAATAATGACGGGTGACAGGTTACCTAATGGCTTACAACAATTTGTCTTAAAAAATCTTTTCGTTTCTTACATTTCAGAAAAGGCTGCTGCTAGTGATCTTGTGGTGGATGATGATATAGAAGGAGAGTCACTCATAGGGGAAGGGAAATCTGGCCTGTTTTCTTCTAGCATTTCTGACAGCCCTGTCTCTTACAACACAAAGACTCCGCCTTCTCGACCTTTATCATCTCGGCAAAGAACTGGAGCTATTATCAGTAACGATGATGTTAGTACTTGGAGTAACTGTAATATAATGTATGAAATAACGTTATAATTTCATGTTTACAGAATGTCCTTGAGGGGATGGGTTATGTAATTCTCATCTCTCTACCTTTTATGTAAGTAATGGTAGAGCAATTATACTTTGTGTAACCATTTTACAAACCATTCATTCATTTGGGAAGAATAACAGAGTAATTTTGATTGCATTTATAATTTTGTTGGTCCTAGCATCGGAGTCCTTTCCTGGAAGTCTCTGTGATCTGTGAAGAGAAATGAATCTGGAATTTAAACAAGCAAGCTGATGGTATTTAATCAAGACATGGATACTGCTGATTGACCAAAGACCATATTAAATTGGATGATATTTGAAGGGACAATTTGATTATGCTGTTGTTCTTGAAATCCCTGTTTTTGTACGTGCAACACATTCTTCTACAGAACTTTCAATACGTGTAACACATAGCGAGTTCTTTTTGGGGACTGGGGGCCAAATAAGTGACTCCATTATTGTGAAAGATGATTGGAGAGTTATCATTAATTTTCAACATTGAAAGGCTCTCAAGGAAAAAATCAAATACCTCTGTAGACCAGATTTTCCATATCCTATTTGATTGTCGATAAAGAAAATATAAAGGACTCGGTTTTGAAAATAAATGACACAATAAACATTATGACCTAACAGCTCACATATGATCCTCAATATGTCGATCGATGCCTCTTTGTCTCATGCACTTTCATCTCTGAAGGTCGGTTAGTTTTGAATGTCCATCTCTGTTTTGTAACTTTCAGACTGTAGGTCAGAGGAGAAGAGGTCAGATGATGAAGCCAAAAGCCTTGCCCCAATCCCGAATGTCTGTCTCACAGCAGGAACAGCAGCGAAGGTACAGCACAGATGTCAACGAGACAGACCGGAGCAGTAGTAAAACTGTTGACAACACTGTCTCTGCCAAATTCTCCTCCAGTGGGGAAAACCTCATCAGCTCCCCGTCCCCAGATTTCAAAAGAAATGACAAAAATAAAAGAATGTCTATGCCTGATGCAGCTCCTGTATCATTTGAAGCTCTTCTTATGAAGGGGGAAGAGAGAGCCAATTTGCTTCAAAGGATTGGTTTAGATAAAAAAGACAATGAGGAATTCAAGGAATCATACAAAGTTGAGACATCCAGTATGAGTGAAGAAAGGCCCCAGTCAAGATTGAAAAACTTGTCAGGGTAAGTGAGGCTTTTATGTAGTGCAACTATTTCATGCCAACATTTTATCTCCTCTTTTAATTCAGAAAAATGATTTTTCATAATGGCTTCTGTAAAAGATGAAGACTTGAGAGTACTGATAATCATTTTGTAAATATGAGTGAGTGAGCATGTGTGGGTGTGGGCATCCGTGTGTTTGTGCATTCCTGCATACTTGCGTTCATTTGTGCATATATGTGTATGTGTGTGTGTATGTGTTCGTATTAATGTGCGGGGGACTACAGTTTTATAAGCATTCATCAGTTGTATTGTAGTTTTTTCTTTTTACTGACTCCAGCTGTATATATGTTGTTTTTTTAAAACTTTTCTTTCTCTAGCAAAGAGTCTACTGAAACTGTGCAAATGCGTACACTTGGTTGCATCATGTGCATATACTAACCAGGTTGGGTTCTCTTCAAACTATTGTAACAGTCCATATTGCTGCCCTCAAGTCACACTCACACTTTCCCAATTACAGGGATACCTCATCATCTAAGTCGTCAAAGTCAAAGATGGTGGACCTAGAAGTCGGAGATGTTGATGACTTAGAGGCAGATTTGGCGAATGTTCAGCTCCAAGCCTCTACACCAATGGTCCCTCCTAGCTCAGCAAAGCTCAGCAAAATTCCGTCGACTCCAGTAGATTTGAAAACAGCAGTGGTAAGGAAAAGCAAAAGATCTATCGAAATTGTTAAGGGTAGTCTGTCAAGACTGTGACAGAGACTAGTTTTATAAAAGTGGAAGTCTTGCTTCCCTTCAGGTATAAATTTTGGTTACACACATTTGTAATTTAGTTGATGTGGTGGATTGTGGTGTTTTTTTTCATTGAGTTGTTTCACGTTCTATAACAACGGTGTCATCCTAGTAGTATTTTGATGCCAGTACCATTTTTGGCTAAAAATTTTATTACGAAAGGGATTAAAGAGGGATTGGGGTTGTGGGCCTCATTATAGTTAGGGACATTTATTTTGGTTTACTGCCTAAGGACTAGGACTATTCAAGTCTCAAATCTCTTTTTATTGACTTTGTTAATTCATTGTCTGATTTTAGGCCAAAAGACAATAACAAATGTATCTTCTGCGTTATTTACAAACCGGCTACCTACAAAAATTTCAATGTCCTTTTTTTTTTGCTTAAGGTAATGAGTAGTAAATAGCATAATACATATCCCCAATAAATATGAGGTTTGATTTAAAAAGTGTAGAAATATGTTTTAATTGAGACTTTCCAAAACGGACATCTGCAGTTGGGGAAAGAGTGTCGTGGCCAAACCAGCCATGTGCATAGCCACTTCGGTTATGGCAAGCCACCTTAACACGTGTCGAAACGTGTCATCAGAAACCTGCTATATGCTTCCCTGCCTGGCTTCAGCCTACCTCTCCTTATAAAGTTTTTTTTTTCTTCAACTTGCCAGAGTTTTAAATTATTATCGATATTCATCATGATATAATATTATGGGCTTTTCATTTGTGGAGTATAATACACTGTGGCTGACATTTTCTCATGATTCACTTATCACGCATCAATAAAATTTTCTATTCTTTTGATATTTTTATGCCAGAGATATGATTTTAACCTCAGCCGGAGTCATCTATGATTTATGATCGGTAAAGAAAGGACCAAAAACAATTCAGTGAATGGCAAAAAAAAAAAAAAATGGCAAAAAAACCAAAAAAACACTCTGCAAATTTGGATTGTCAATCCTTTTTAAGTTTGTTAAACAAGTCAGCCATGTTAATTATGTTTTTGTAGTATTAATGCTAGTACTTTTAAAATGCTACTTTCCTGACTTTTTGGCCTGAGTCTGAGGATATACATTGTATAAGGATACGTCTCTCTCTCTCTCTCTCTCTCTCTCTCTCTCTCTCTCTCTCTCTCTCTCTCTCTCTCTCTCTCTCTCTCTCTCTCTCTCTCTCTCTCTCTCTCTCTCTCTCTCTCTCTCTCTCTCTCTCTCTCTCTCTCTCTCTCTCTCTCTCTCTCACTTTATTTATATTCTATGTCTATCTATCTATATATGTAAAGATGTACATGCATACATATTGTCCCGCATGCTCATATGACCTTATAATAATAATAATAATAATAATAAATAGCATTTATACTGCGCATTTCCATTTCCTAAAAGATGCTCAATGCGCATTACAATGAAAAAGACATCACATCTTAAAAATTAATCGACACAAATGTGTACGTAAAACAAAGTATTATACATATAATATAAATGCATATGTGTAAAATTTTATACCAGAAAAACAGTCTCGCAGTGAGGTTGAAAATGTGTTCACTAAAAATATACAATGCAATATAAATTCACGAACAGTCAAAATACAGTTGAAACGTGAGTAACTAGAAACATTCATTAAAACATTAATTCTATACAGATAGAAAAACATTTCCACTCTATCTCTCTCTCTCTCTCTCTCTCTCTCTCTCTCTCTCTCTCTCTCTCTCTCTGTCTGTCTGTCTCTCTCTCTCTCCCTCTCTCTCTCTCCCTCTCCCTCTATCTCTCTCTCTCTCTTTCTCTCTCCCTCTCTCGCTATCTCTCTCTTTTCTCTCTCTTTTCTCTCTCTATCTCTCTCTTTTTCTCTCTCTCATTCTCACTCGCTATTTCTTCAGTCTCACCGTCTGCATACACATGCGTATATATCACAGTACATCATTATGACAGGTATGCTTTTGTGAATAAAAAATGCTTCAGCTGATTTTTGAAAATGGAAATTGTTGGGGCAGATCTTATTTTATATGGGATTTCGTTCCATACCTGGGGACCAAAGAACAAAAAAGAACGCTCGCCGTATGTTTTGTAGTTTTGTTTTGGAGTTTTAAGAATTAGATTGTCAGAGGCTGATCTAAGGGCTCTAGGTGGATTATATAATTCCAGGAATGTTTTAAGATAAAAAGGTGCACTATCATTTATACATTTAAAACAGAGAATGGCAGTTTTGTATTTAATCCTCTCTTTTATTGGCAGCCAGTGTAGTTCTTTCAGAATTGGTGTTACATGGGCTGATTTCTTTTGTTTCATTATCAATTTTGCTGCTTGATTTTGAAGTACTTGTAACTTTGATAGTTTTTCGGATGTCAAACCGGACAAAATAACATTACAGTAATCTAACTTTGATAAAATGAGTGTTGTTACAAGTGTCTTGGCTGCTGCTTTAGTTAAATAATTTCTTACACTGCCAATTTTCTTAAGCTGAAAGTAAATACTTTTGCTGAGCTGGCTAATTTGGGAGGACATAGACATATCATAATCCAACTGAACCCCTAGATTTTTAAGACTTCTTTTTGAACGAATGGTATGGTTATTAATATCAATTTGTAGCTCTGGGAGATTTTTAATGGCTTTTGTATTTCCACTCAACATTATTTCCGTCTTGTCATCATTTAGTTTCAATTTATTGCTGGTCATCCATATTTTTATATCTCTAGTACATTGTTCAGTAGAGTCGACTAAAAGTGGTATTTGATCGAAATCAATAGACTTATAAATTTGAGTGTCATCAGCATAAAGATGGTAATTCATGCCATATTGTCTTAAAATATCAGCAATAGGTTGTGTATACATTGTAAACAAGACAGGTCCAAGAACAGACCCCTGAGGAACACCACATCTAAGCAAAACATTATTAGAACACGCGTTTCCAACCACAACTGCTTGTGTTCGATCCTTAAAATATGACTCAAACCATCGCAGGACAGTACCCTTTATGCCAAAAGTAGTATTTAATCTCTCGAGTAAAATACCATGATCAATGGTATCGAATGCAGCCGAAAGGTCCAAAAGAGTAAGAAGACATACCTTTCTTTCATCAATATATTTTAAAATATCAGTACAGACCCTAAGTAACGCTGTCTCAGTACTATGGTGTGCCTTATATGCTGACTGATAGACTTCGCTAAGATTATTTGCTTTAATATGATGTAACAGTCTATTAGATACAACTTTTTCAAGAATTTTGGAAAGGAAAGAAAGATTTGAAACTGGTCTAAAATTTTAAAAGTCCTTTTCATCAAGTCCAGATTTTTTCAAAAGGGGTCTAATATGGGCTGTCTTAAAGCAATTTGGTACTGTGCCTGTGAGGAGAGAATCATTTACAATTTGGGTGATATGTGGAAGAAGTTCATGCAAACATTTTTTTAAAAGGCTGGTGGGCATAGGGTCTAAGGCGCAACTTTTTGATGGACTATCTAATATGATCTTTTTGATTTCTTCTTCCGTTGCTGGAGTAAAATAATCGATGACTAACCCTTTAAACTGATGGTAATTTGGGGCAATTGCGCACATTTTATCGAGCTCTTGTCTGATGGAGGTGATTTTTTTAGAAAAAAAGTCTGAAAAACTACTACAAAGATCTCTATCGGTGCCAGGGGGCCATAAAACACTTACCCCCCAAAAGGAAAACAACAATCCCCACTCCCCCATCTATATATCGATTTTATCATACTCTAATTGTGCTACTGGAAGAAACAGGTCAAATCTCTTGTTGTCTGTCACATTTATGAAGTCAGTCTATGGGTCTGCAAGAGAAATTAGAAGTCAGCTTGCATTAGACGTATTATAAATATTCTGTAGGTTAACTCATGTCTTCTTATCTTATCAGTTGTGTGTTGATTAAATTTTCCAGAAATTGGTTTTGCAGTTTGAGTCCTTTATATTTTCTTTATCTACAATCAAATAACATACAGAGAATCTGGTATACAGTGGTATTTGATTTTTCATTGAGAGCCTTTCAATGTTGAAAATTAATGATAATTCTCCAATCATCTTTCACACCTTCTATAATTTTTCTAACACATTTTCACTTAGGCCTATGCGTTAGCGTTTGAACCCTCTGACAGTTTTATGTATGGATGTTTTATTACTGGCTTTAATGGCAAGTTTTAATCGAGAGATTTTTTTAAAGAATGGTAAAAATCTGTTTCCTACCTACAAGTGATTTTATTTTGAATGTTGGCACTTGTCTGACATATTGCTCCTTGTTTACATAACACAGGCCCTGAAAACGCTGGTGCTAGGGTCACCAAACCAACAGTTCAATGAGGAGTGGCGGCTACAGGCTTTCAGTTTCTGTGATATTCAAGATCTTAAATATGGCATTGTGCAGAAAAAGGTTAGTATGTTCATCATTTTTTACATATTTTTTCCCATTTTGATGAAAGTTCATACCTACATTGTCGCAGCTTGTTAAGTTGAAGCTCCTCCCTTCGTTGGTTATACTGGGTTGCTATTAATATCTTTCCTAACTGTGAAAATGATCTCATATTCATAAGTTGTTTAGTACATCAAGAATAATTTAGCTTGGATTATTACACACTTGTGAGACTTCTCAGTGACTGCTGTGTAACTTCATACTATACATGTGAAATCCTCTTGTGCTGTGTTTTCTTTTTATTTGACAGTGATGGGCACGTTCTTGAGCTGATGCAAAAATATGTATGAAAAAAAATGTATGAATAGGTATGTCTCATAAACAATTTAAATATATACCTCTGCTAAAATGGTGACAATCGAAAATTCTTGAACTATTATTATGGCTGCCCGTTTTCAAATTTGAATGCATTTTCTTCTTCAAATAAATTTTTTTTAAATCGCTTCCCTAGGGTGGACCGTGCGGTGTACTTGCAGCTGTTCAAGCTTGCTTTATACAAGAAATGTTGTTTGGTGAAAATAAAATAATGGACACGAAATAGTAAGTCCCAAAGATTATTTTTTTTATCTTTTTCAATGTTTGTGTTGAATTATGTGCCTAACTGAAATAAAAATATATTGTGCAGACTGTGTTGAATAAATTATGCGTATATTTTTTTCACTCATGAGATGAACACCATTGGTGCAGGGAGAGTGCTTCTTTTACTTCTGATTTATTGGCGATGTATTCGGTTAACGAGTAGTAAACACAACTCGTACCCCTGAACTTATCATGTTTGGTGGCTTTTTCTACGTCTGCCTTTTGTCCTCAATGGCAGCATAGGATGCCAACAAGCTCTTCACCAGCCAGCTCTGCTCTAGGCCATGTAATTTGTAATTGTTGGTGTTTTAGGCTCCCATTGACACAATTAAAAATAATTTAAGATCCAGGGTGCTTTTGCCTCACCTGTCTAGACCATTGCAGTCTGAGAGATACAGGGTCCCATCCAATTGACAGAGATGGTCCGCACACAGGAATGGAACTGACGTCTTCTGTGTGCGCCTCACCCCCTACACCATAGACATGGGTGTCTTGGGCCAGTCTCTCTGTAAGCCTACATCATATGGGCACAAAGAAGAAGTCACAATCTTTTGTCAACTGTTTTCTGCTTAGACATTGAATCGAGTTGAAGGTTAGTGTTTCTCAACTGTTTCTTTTATGTATCTTGGAGACAGTTTAGTCCGATTTGTTAATTAAAGTTTGTACCCCCCTTGATATTCTCTGCAATGCTTAACAAGTTGTTCAAAGTTTAATGCGCATTCTTAAGACCCTATGCTACAATTTACATTAATAAAGAGTCTTTAATGCTATGGTCCTAAGGGCAAGTGTGAGCCTTAGCATGACTATGTTTTCCCTTCTGTGCTCCAAAAATCATACCTCAGAATATGGTGGTGTATATCGAGCAGCCACCCCAAAGAACTTGGTATGCTGAGAGAGTCTAGACTCAAAGGTATAACCATTTAAGCGCAACCGCCCCCCTCCCCCTCCTTTTTCTCCTCCTACCTCACTTCCATTTCACTTCTCCTCCTCCTCCCACTTCCCCTCTCACCCCCCATTATCCTTCCTCTCTCCCTCCTTTTCCCCCTCCTCTCTCTCCCTTTCCCCATCCCTCTCCCTCTCTTTGGGTTGACTGCTAGATATACACTTCCGCATACTAATTTGTGTGTTCTGTGCTCAGAAGGGTAAAGCTTATCATGCCCAGGCACCTTCTAGGGTCTATCAGGTTAAGATCCTGGTCATTTTATCCCCAGCCTGCATCTTTGATGGTTTTATGTTTGCATTGAAACAGTGCAACTGGTTTTTGAAAAATTCTGTACCTTTTTCCTTAGCAAAAATGTGTCAAGAGCTGAGAGGTCCAAGCTGCTGGCATTATCTTTGAGTCACATTTTCTGGAGAGCTGGGGACAGCCAAAGAGCTGTTGTTGCTTTGTGAGTTCTTGATGTGTTACCATGTTGTATTGTCCTAGTACACAACAGGTGCTTGTGTTGGAAAATGTTATCCTGTTGATTACTGTTTCTTCTGTTTAAATTGGAGAAGGGGGGCTCATCACCATTTCATTACACGGTTTACTTTTAGAATCTTATTGTAAATATAATTTTGAGATTTTGATTCATTTTTGCTTTTTTCTCCTGCCTTTTCTGTTGTAGTGAGGCTCCACCTTATGTTCAAGATGTGTAACTGTGGCAGAAAATGAAAAAAAGAAAAGTAGATCCACTATTTTTATATTTTTTCTCCATGATAAACGTTTTATTATATCGATTGTGTTTGTTCCTACCTAACAAAACCAGAAGTGGTCACCATGACAACAACATTGTATGCGCTAAACTCTTCCTCAGACCAAGCGATACATGTCATCTAGTCAGCAGCACAAAGTTCAAGCAGGATGATGTCACTGAGAAGGTGACACACATACATGCTTTGTTTTGTTGTTCTTTTCACAGAGACAGTTACACGTTTACACTGACACTTTTATTTCAAAGCTGTATTTTGTCTGTATTTGTCAGGTCTCATAACATATTGTTTCCCTCTGCTATTAAAAGTACAATTTTTTAATGTAACAATGTAAAGTGCATTAACGGTTACAGAATAATTCTAGGTCTAATCTGTGTATGTCTTTAAAAAGTTTTTAAGGATCAAGATTTCAACGGTTTCACTGATCGTTGCAAAGTGGCCAAGTACAGTAGAATGGGATGTTTTTACCTTTTTTTTTGCTCAATTTTCTAAAGGAGTTTGAGAGCTGCTTTATCACTTTTGTTGTGTTTTGAAGTCAAGTTTCTGGGTCCATATGATCTTTCATTAAAGCAATGTGTTTAGAAATGTCAGTCTTACTCAGTTTACATTCGACTTAATATTGTAATCTGTACGCTATCTTGATTTTAACTGTTCTAGAATATTTTTCTCTCTACTACTGGAAGCTCACAGCGCCCTACACCCCCCCCCCCCCCTCACCCACAGCTGTTCTTCTATACTGATTTCTTGTATTTTGTGTTCTGTGTCTGTACTACCTTTTGCTTATGTATGATGTTACCATATCAGCCTCCTTTTTTTCTCCTGGTGGGAAAAAAAAAACAAGTTAGGGGAAACAATGTGATGAGAATGAGTGAAATGAAATTGACAGCTGAGGAGAAAATATTTTCATAAATTTTACACACCATTTCGATATCCTTGGGGTTTTTTTTTACAGTTTACTGCACAAATAAAGTATGAAGACAAGATTGATAAACGGTCAAAGTCAAACTCACAAACTGGAAGTTATTGAATATTTGCCTTTAGCATTTTCCCTGCTTTAAAAGCCTATTGTCAAATTTGGAAACTAAGTAATGGGCTTTGGCTTGAGTTTAACATCCTTTAAAAAAAATAAGATAAACAATCTTCAAATTCCAGTTTGTTTTGAACTTCGAAGTTTCTCAGTGGGAAAATGTGACTTAGATCATTTTCCCATTTTGCTCTTCAGATGGCTATTGATATTTAAGGATCAAGATTTCAAAATGTACACTGAAAATTATTCAAATGAAGCTTTCTGTGTCTGCAGCTTTCACTGTACACATTCAACAACTATGAGGAACTCTCAAGTTTTATGATGCAGTCAGTCTCTCAGGTAAACCATTGTAGGGAATAACAGATGTTCTCTACACAGATAACTTGCAGGATGGGAAAAAAATGAAGCAACATTTTTAAAACCCTATCCATGCCTATCCACGAATATATACTGTTGATATTCAGTACCATGTCTGTGGAGTCCATGATCTATCATTGGCATGTTATTGCCTTCTGTGAAAAACTAAAACATCTTCCTTTTTTTGGATACATGCACATGGACCTGTTTTGACTTATATTATAATTAAAAATCTGATATGATCTTCATGTACTTAATTCTTTCATCTTGATGGTAGGTAGGTAGGTAAGTAGGTAGGGTAGATAGGTAGGAAGGTAAGTTGATAGGTAGCTAGGTAGGTATAAGAACTGTCCTATAATTAACAAGGAAATGGCTGGGAAATGAAAAGTATTGATCTGACTGAGAACAGTTAGTTGGTTAAACAGTCCCTGAGGAAGTGGATCGTTTTCTTTAATGTATTGCAAAGTTTGGAAAAAAAAATTTTTAATGTGAAATTTATTTTAAATTTCACGACATGAGTCACACCTCTCACATATGGGTCAGTTTGTTAATTTCCATTGATAAAGATTATTATATCAACTTTGCTACAAAGTCCAGTAGATGGCCTCTCTAAACACCTCCGTCAGCTTTGTCACATTTACCTCACACTGGCCTGGCACAGCTGTAGAAAACTTCTGGCACTTAATGGTGGATTTAACTCATCCAAGGTACTTTGACTAAGTTTGTGACTTCATTAGAATATGATGTGTTTGCAAATCCACTCTTCAATGTTGTTAATTTTTTTTACAATAAGTCCACACCATGGAGAGGTTTTTGTTTTTGGAAACTGTTTACAACTGAACCATTCATTAAAAAAGCTCACTCTAAGTTATATGTCTTTTGTCTTTTGATTTTGACCAGTGGTCACAGCCGCAAAATGCATTTTTTAATATCATGTATACATAGTATATATAATTGGATAATTGGGCAGTTCCCAGCTTTGCAGACCCTTCCTGGTTTTTTAAAAATATCAAATTCAGCTGCTTGTCATTTTGTACAGTAAAGTATTAATTTTCTGCAACTTTTTTTTCTGCTGTAGTTTGAGACTGATGGCTGCCCAGGAGTGATTCTAGTCATGTATTCTGCCATATTGTCAAGAAAACCTTATCAGTAAGTAACTGAGTCCTTCATCAGTGAGTTAGCTTTTTATGCTTTACAATGCACGCACTTAAAGAAAAATAAATTAAATTTTATTTTTGAAAAACATTCTCCTTCAAGTGTCAGGTTTGAAATGGTGATTGTGGTTCACTACTTTATTCTTTGCCTTGATGCTCTGAAAATACCCTTTATTATCCTAGTCTTTTCATGTGCCAAATCTGTCTAGTTCTTTCTGTAAGTTGTTCTTGGTCTGCCTCTGTCTCTTTTCCCTTTCATTTTTCCAGTGAGAGCAAGATGTTGATTACCTTTATGGGGATTCTAGTAAATTTTATTTGTGAGTTTATACTTTATGTTTACTCGGAATATTACATTAAATACAAAGATGCGTATCATTCATGGAGCTCACACCATTTTTTCTTTTTTGTATTTTCAGAGTTCGTTATGATTTTGATGTCTATGAAACAACCATGATAGCATCTCATGGATACTGCACACAGGTGAAGAGCAAAAGTCTTTTTCTGACTTAAAATAGAAAGCTTATTCATTGTCTGAACTGAAAGTATGTGTCCTTTACAGTGAGCTTGAATGATCATCTAAAGGATGTGTCTTATCCTATTGCAGCCTCCTAGTTAGTTAATCTAGGAATTTTTCACATGTTGCCGTATCTTTAAGTGAAATGAGATGTATGTGTCCTAGCAGGCTGTGTGTTCTCTTATATATTTTTATATTCAGGCTTTGTGGGTGGGTGGTTGGTGGGTGCTCTGGTGTGTTTTGCTTCTGCTTTCCTATCAAACATCTGTCGTCTTTATCTCTTCTCCTTTTTTTCTTTGTAATTTACTCTCTGATAATATCTCTCATCTTTGGCTCTTATATGATCTGTTAGTGGGTTGTTGGCAGGTGCTCTGGTGTGGTTTGCTTTTTCTTTCCTTTCAAAGATCTATCGTCTTTATCTCCCCTCCTTCTTTTTTGCGCTTGTTACTCTGTTGTAACACCTCTAATATTCGGCACTTATATGACCTTATTGTGTTGCAAGTGCCGTAAAACTCTTACTAAAACTAAAACGATCTGTTCGTGTTGCAAGTTGCGTAAACCTCATACTGAAATTAAACTAAGGTTTTGGGGGCAGGCCACTTTTAGAAATGCATTCCCCCCCCCCCCCCCCCGAATGGGATAAAATTTATAAGTAAAAGTGAGGGTGTTCTACAGTCCGTACATGGATCTCTTCAAGGAGCTCCCTGTAATAGTAGGACCCCTGTAGATTTGTTTGCTTGTTTGAATAAAGAGAATCATGCAGACACAATATTGGTCATTTATTGCAGGAAAATAGTAATATGCGCTGAAAGAACAGAGGGAAAAAAAGAGAACTAGGACCTACCAGTGGTGCCGTCCCGCCTCACATGACCCTGTAGAGCCAGTGTCTCTATCATTAAATAAGATTTAAGTACCAGTATCTCCAACTGCTTATTTATGAATAGTTTTAAATGAATCTCATGTGTGAGGGCACGATAGAAGGTCGACCTGTCCGTTATCCTTTAATTCTATTAGTATGCCCACATACTGGTAAAAATTTTTTAAAGGAACTGTTTCTGATCAATCTTTTGTGTTGATTCAGTCAAGGAAAATCACTTGGTCTGGTTTCAATGAAGTTGTAAAGTCATAGAGAAGTAATATATACGGTTAAAATCAAGCAAAATTCTTTCTTATCAGGAGTTGGTGAACTTAATGTTGACGGGAAAGGCAGTTTCCAACACTTTCAATGATGTGGTGCGACTTGACTCGGATGATGGGAGTGATTCTGTGACCTTGAAAGGAATCTCCGGACGATCAGAAATTGGCCTTTTGTCTCTCTTTGAACACTACAAGTCTTGTCAGGTGAGTTATGCACACTGGGATATTGTCATTCATACTTACAGAATGATGATAATGATAACAATGATAATAATAAAAATGATAATAATAATATTTGACTTCATATATATAGTGCTCTACCCTATACAAGTATAAGCTCTGAGCCCTTTACACCGACGGCATGATTTCTGAGAGTAAACCTCACACACACAAGAAAAAACATTTCATATGTACAAAAAAAACCCAGCTTGACCCAATAAGGAGGAGCTTTCTCAGTCAAACATTCGTTATACAGTGGCATCCATTAAAGACTTGAAAGTGTAACCATCCAATCATCGTGTTAAAGCCTTGCACTACCACTCATGCAGCATATGGTTCAAAGAGTTAAGTTTAGACTTATGTCATTTTGCTTCTGTGTAACTCACACAAATTTTTGCTTGAATTTTATGCTTGTACTCAGGTTGGTACCTATCTGAAAACCCCAAGGTTCCCAATCTGGGTGGTGTGCAGTGAAAGTCACTTCAGCGTCCTGTACTCATCTCGACGCGATCTTGTCAATGACTGGAAGGCCGAGAGACGATTTGACCTCATGTACTACGACGGTCTGGCCAGGCAGCAAGAAGAGATCAAACTGACCATCAGTAAGACCTCTGTTTTAGACTTATAGCTTTATAAATACTCTTTTGGTCAAACCCTTGAAGTCGCCATTTCCGTAATCAACACATAACATATCACATCTCTGGGTTTGACTTGTTGTTATTGTTGTTATCGATCCAGCTGGGTTTGACTTCAGAACTTTGAAGAGCAAACCTGGGAAATGTAGATCTTTGAAGTCAAATTCAATCATTTGTTATGTGGACCCAAGACATATTTTATATTAATACATTGTATTCATCTTTAACACCACTTTCAACAATTTGTGCACATTCAGTAAAAAGAACAACAGGTAAGCAAAGTCACTTTTGAGGAATAAGTAAATATTTCACTTTGACAAGCTGTATGACTTTTTTTTCTTCTTTATCTTTGTTCTTGACAGTTTATAAGTATGATGGTACTCTGGTGTGGTTTGCTCCTTCTTCCCTTTCAAATATTTATCATCCTTAGCTCTCCTCCTTTTTTAGTTTGGTATGACCTAATTGTGTTGCAAGTGCTTTAAAACTTTCACTAAAACTAAGCTAAACCATTCTCTGAAAGTGTGTTGTATGATTAATCTGTCCTCAGGCACGATAAACCAGTTTTACAAGCCACCAAGCTCAGAGGAAGATTTGGTGCCTCCACTCGAGCATTGCATACGAACAAAGTAAGTACCGAGGCGGATGGATAGTCTAATGGGTTGAGAGACAGATGGGTCTATTGTTTATTTTGGCCAAAATGCGAAAAATAACAAAGTTATGGTATTCCATCATGTCTCTAAGTATCAGACCAACACCCTCCAATAGTTTTAGCGCAAATTCAGTTCCTGATTTGAGTTTATTTGTATGTGTTGTCTTTTTTACCCCTTTCTGTTATTTTCCTCTTCTTCTCATTGCGAAGGCTTGGAGATATTGAAGTTAATTTTCATGCAGTGTGTCTTGGAGCAAGGATATTGTCAGAGGTGGAGAAAACTGGCGCAACGTTCAGCAGTGGAACCCCCCCCCCCCCCCCCCCATGGCCCAAAAAGGATTAAGGGACTCATGACTTGTGACTCATGACCTAGCAATTAAATGTAAAATCTTTTCTTCTCAAAAACAAAGAAATTGGACTGAATGACACCTTAGTCACACTCTAACTCTCAGCTTACAATTTATGCAATTTGGAGTGCAACAGGTCCCCTATCTTTTTGTTGCTACCAGCTCAAAGACTTGTATGTTCAGGATAATGTCCAGGAAAGGAGGGAAATAAAGCACTCTGTTTCAGGACATTGGTATGTGGTTCCTTGAACTTTGCAAGCGATGTTTTTGTTGAGCAGAGTAACACTTCAGATGAAAGAGTATTATATAGTTCATGTTCCTTTCAGGAATCCTTTGTTGGGACAATGGTATCACCTTGTTCTTTGGCAAAGTCAGACTCACTGGGCACACAGATCAAAAATAAAATAATTGTCTTGGGAAAATGTCAGTGTACAGCATATTTCGTATTTCTAGTCGATGCCACATTAGAAGACTACGCAGTAACAATTTTTCTGTACTTTATAACTTTTACTTCTTTTGTGTAAAACTTTTTTTTGTCTTTATAAGTATCTAAGTTTGTTTGAATAACTTTGGTTTTTATCTTTTCAGATGGTCTGACGCAGAAATAGACTGGAACGGATATGAGCCTATTCTATAAAACCAACACTGAGAGATTGTCACCATTATGTTACGTATCTGATACTTGTTTCAATCTGTTGTTATGACTGCTGGAATGCTCCTGCTAATTTTGTGTCCATTGTTTTGTTCTTAACCTATCACATGTTATCTCAGGCTTCAGTTTGTCAAGTGTGTACTGAGTGGTAGGTTTGAAAGAATCTAAGGTCAAAGGGTTTATTTACTCATGCCTGTGTCTGCCTATAAGTCTGTTTGAGTTTGTGTGAATTAGCGTTTGTGAGTGCATGTTTATGTGTGTATCTGTTCACAACCATTTGGGAGGGGTAGACATTTTTTTGGTGGTGGAGGGGGAATTGAGTAAAATGTTTTGTTTTAGATTGTTTTAGTTAGACACTAGATTAAGGGCTTTGGAAACTAACTCTAACCACCATAAATTAAATAAACAACTGTAGTTTGTAATGTTAATGAAAAAGATCTGGAAGTTTTGGTAATGAGACTAAGAAATATATTGTTGCTGACTTTATGCTCTCCTTTGAGGAAATTTGTTCAAGACCTGTCTCATGACACTAATAGCTGATTCTGTTGGACGTCCAATTTTGTTTACAGTGGCAAATTTGTTTAATAAAAAAATATTTCAAGGTTGTGAAAGTGCAGGTGAAGTGGCTCCTTTTCATGTAGTTTAAAAAATGTTTACCAAATTGTTGAAATGTGTTTTTTCATAATAAATGTTATATCTAGTTTACACCAGAGTGTATTTGTAGAGTATTTCAGTACTTTTCAAACATATTTTATAATGTACCTTTTAATTTGTTTCCGTCCTGAAGAATCCCAGCTGGATGTGAATATTACTCCTGTGTTATATTTCTCTCCTTACCTGGACATTCTAAACATACAAGTCTTTGGACTCGTAGCCTTTTGAACAGAAGTAAAACCAACATGTTCTTTATCATTTCTGATCACACTCGTTCTTTCTTTTTTCCATCCTCAAGAATCCCAGCTGTCTGTAAATATTTTTCCTGTTAATATTGAAATCAATTTTTTTTTTCATAATGGTGGCATGTGACTTACATTCTATGAACCAGACATTGCATCTGAACCCCTAAGCTCTATGGGCAGAGAAATGTTCCGTATTTTAAAGTCTAAATTTTAATTTTGTCTGAATTTTCAAATATTGAAGCATGATAGTTGTCTGAAATGATGTTTATTTTTAATATAACTTGACATCTTATATTCAGATTTTTAAAAGCTTTCTCCTCTATAACCATTAAAATATGTTTGCAGATTTAGAGGAGAGAAAATGTGTAGTGCATTACAGACAAGCTATATTTCAAAAGAAAGTGAAACATTTCATCAGTGTCATCTCACAAACGCCCAAGTCAATTTTGGAAGTTTTGAGGAAATCAACGAAAGAGAGAGTGTCCAAATCAAAATCATGACTTGGGCTCTCATTGTATTTCAATTTAAAACTAGGTAGAAATAAAGAAACTGAACAAAGCTGTATTGTAAAATGCAACTACATGTCTTTATTTAGATAGTGGCGTTATCTGGGAACCCTCAGAAATTGATTTGGGTGATTATGGAATTGCGCTGACAATTTTTGTGTTGTGTTCTGTAACAATGTTGCCTTTAACTATGCTGAATCAAAAATTTATAGGCCCTACAATGTCTGTTGTTGCTTAAGGCTGCTACCCCCTCCCCCTCATAATTTCATTTGGTACATGATGCACTATGCTCCATCTTTGTGCAGGCAACTCTGATTTTTGTGTTCACTGGGATATATTTGCTCTTTGCTGCATTTAAAAAAAGTTTTCATGGCTGTCCACCCAATGAATTTGGTTAAATTGTAGACAGACTTTTATTGTGAGGTCATACCTCTTTGACGACAGTATGGTGGGGAAACTGACATTAGACACATCATCTAATTTTGACAATTTTGGTGGGCATATTTGTGACGTTTACAGTTTTGTTCTGTGATATTTGTGCACAGTTGACAAAGGGTTGATTTATTTGATTGAGATTTTGTTCCAGGGATTGCGACCTTCATGTCTTCTGTATATAAGAAGCTTTTATCATGGAGATATTTTGTTTTGTCAGCAGCAGGCTCTTGCCATTGATCTATGTTTTGTTTCTTTTCATTAATGCTAAATTATTTTTTATTTCATGCCAGTGCTAAATAGTCAAAGTTTTTTAAAGTAGATTTATGACTGTTGAGTGAATGTCTGCAAAGAGGAAATGAGAGTAAGTCTGGTGTATTTTCTGAGTGTATGGCAGGCGTGAAAAACAAAGATACGAATTTTTCGTACCGTCAAGTAAAATATGTGTCCTACAGTGCTCTTATGGTTGAGTCATTGTGCCAATGACAAAGAATGTTGATTCCTTCTTGGGAACAGAGACTGTATTCCCATCATTTGCCATGTAGGATGTGTGACTCCTGATTTGATTCATCCTTTTGTACCAGCTTTTATGTGAACTGACTTTTTAAATCACAACTTTTGTGTCACCCGATAAAAGCCAGAGTAAATTATATCAAGTAAGGTAATGAATCAAATATTGTTCTTTTGATTTGCCATCTAGTGGCTGTCTTCTTACAGTAAATTCCACCATAGCCTACCTAGAGATTCTCAGTTATCAAATCTATAGAAAATAGTTTTTGTAATATCTTGGTTTATTAACGTGTTTGCTGTCTGTGATAACTTCCCCAATCACAGGTGCACAATTCTGTGTTTGAAAGGTTTCGTGAGAAAATTGGTTATCTTCGATATTCCAACTCCTGTCGTTTTCCCTTTCATATTTTCAAATAGGGTTAATATTTCTCCTTCAAAATACTTGGTCACAAATATTTGTTACCAATGATTACTGCTTCAGCTGGGGGGTTTTTCTTCGACAGTATTCAGATGGTCAATCAAATAATGTGGCTTTTCTACATAGTTTTAGTAAGTGTTTTATGGCACTTGCAACTCAATAAGGTCCTATAAGAGCCGAAGATTGGAGGTGTTACAAGAGAGTAACAAACATAAAAAAGAAGGAGGGGAGATAAAGACGATAGAAATAGATGTTTGACAGGAAAGAAGAAGCAAACCACACCAGAGCACCCGCCAACCACCCACCTTCTGCTTTGGGATATGATATGTTGTCACAAAATTAGTGTCTAATTATTAGTGTTTTTTTTAGTCGTTTTTACTTGTACTTGTTCATGAATCTAACTATAGACTTGTTTAATAATATCCTAGAACATGCACTATGACATATTTATGGTTCACTATGGAGCACGCCATTTTACTCGACTCAGTCGAAGCCAGGCAAAGGGCAGTGGGGGAAAGGTCCCGTACGCACTTCGACTATAATGAGACGCCTGTTTTCCTCTTCATTTGGTCATAATGGCGCGGCCCATAGTGTTCTCACTTTGCAGTTGTTAAGTCTTTATAGATCGCTAAGAGTGGTTGGTGTAACCAGGAGTATGCGTCTATGGATTCAACTATGAAAGTGGATATTATGGAGCCGGGAAGATGTTGTAATGCTAAACCTCAACACAGGCATTTTACTTTTACCTTAAGATATCTATGAAGAAGTAGATTAAAGTTTATAACATTGCCTGGTTTGAGTTTTGTTTATCTGAATACGTAGTCTTGGTTATTTCTAAAAAATTACATTGGAATCTCCCCCCAGTTAAAAAAAAATATCTGTCTTTCTCCGTCTTTCAGTTTTTGTCTCTGTTTCTGTTTTTTACTTGCTGTCTCAGTGTGTCTGTCTTTATCTCTGTCTGTCTGTCTGTCTGTCTGTCTGTCTGTCTGTCTGTCTGTCTGTCTGTCTGCCTGTCTGTCTCACATTCTCTCTCCTCCCTCCTCCCTCCCTCTCTGCCTGTCTCTGTCAGGTCACCTGTTCTTTCTGTGTGAAGCAAAGAGTCTAACATCAAATAGCAATACTTGAGCACCCAGGAGAAAGCCACCCGCTCACAGGAAAAGCCAGCTCTTCTCTTTGACCCTTCTTTACAGAGTGCACAAAAAGACGTTTAGAGTTACTCATATTTTTCGTTTCTGAGAGGAATGCAAACGACCCTCAATATAATAATAATAATAATAATAATAATAGATAACATTTCTATAGCGCAAAATCCCCGCTCAACAGCAAGCTGTTTGCGCTTCACAATCTATACCATTACCCCAGCAGACCTGAGAGCACTCTGAAACAACCTCAACTTCCTAGGAAGCATACAGTGCAAGCAGCCAATTATAGGCGCTAAGACACTAACATACTGACAAGATCTTTCGCTGTCTATGGCCTGGTACCCATTCCCCCCTTGGTGAAGTAAGGAAAATTAATGTAAAGTGCCTTTCCTAAGGACACAACGTCGGGCCCGCGGCTCGAGCCCCCGAACCCGCAACTTCACGATTTCGGGTCCGGTAGCCTAACCACTAGGCCACCGACGCCACATAATAATATACAGTTTTCTTGTGTGTTTTAAGCTATTTTCTGTAATGTAAGATTGTTTAAGAAGATCCGAAGAACGTCTGGATTTGACGTCCTTCTCCACTAGGACCTAGCCAAATAGGCAGAGCAGAGACTTGAAAACTCCCCAAGTACAAGAAGGCCCCACAAGAGATTCGACTCAGGGTCACACGCACCACTGAGTTAAGAGTGTCCTTTCTGCGAAAAGAAAATAAGAAAGTCCAACGTGGCATGATTGATGTTTATCTATCTATCTATCTATCTATCTATCTATCTATCTATCTATCTATCTATCTATCTATCTATCTATCTATCTATCTATCTATCTATCTATCTATCTATAGCTTTGAAAATAGTTTAAAAGAATAACAATAAAAGAAAGAATTTTAAACAACAATAATGAAGACTCACTATTGTCACTCTTTTTTTTTATCTCTGTAACCGCCTCA